CTGGGGGGCTGTCGAACGGAGTCCGGGGGCGGGACGCTAGAGCCCGCCCCGGAGGGGGCTGCGACCGGCCGCGACTCGCGGGGCCATCCGTCCTGCGTGCGGCCCCGGGGCTGGACCCCCCCACCGCCCCATTGGGTGCCCAGCAACCGCGCACCTCACAGTCCCGGTCTGCGTCACAGCACCGGGAGGTGGGACGGAGGGGGCACCCCGGGCATTGCCGCGGGGACTCGGACTCACCGGCTCTAACCGAAGTGACCCCCAAAGACCTTCCGGGGACCGGGCTGCCGGGGTCAGGGATAGGAGCTGGAGAGCTCTCCAATCTTCGCGGGGCGAGCGAGTATCCGAGGGAGGAGGGCCGGGGCCAGCCAGGTCCCGCTTCTGGGCAGACCGAGAGCGAACTGTCTTTTGGTCCAAAAGTCTTCCTGGTTTCTTTGCCCTAACCCCCTACTGGCCCCTCCCCTCCAAGGGAACCGGGCTGCACCACCCAGGAAGCCCCTAGTCTTCGGAGACGGTCTGCCCCTTGATTCTCACGCCCCAGGCAAACCACTCCACGCCCCTTGTCCAGCTCGGGTGGAGGCAACCCTTGACTCCAGCCGGCCAAAGCCTACCCGCAGGAGGTGATTCCTTCTGGTGCCGCTGGGAGGGCGACTAACAAGTGGCATGAGCCCTGGTGTGCAGATGAAAGGGGCCGAGGGAGCCACGCTGGAGGAGAACCAGCGCCTACAGGACCGCCAGCCCCCGCCCACGGCGCTCCTCTAAGTAGTGTGCAGCTCCGTGCTGCCCGGGCCTCCTGGGCGGTGCTGGCGTGGCCTCCCTGCCAACTGGCCCTCCGAGCTGGACAGGTGGACAGAGAAGCCCCAGCCACCCCTTGAGCACCTGGAGGCACGGCTTGGGCAGGGGCCTGAAGCCCAAAAGGCTTGGTGGTGGTTTTAAGGATGCAGCCCTTTGGGGTGGGGTGGGGGTGGGTGCAATATAGGCTTGATCAGCAGATCTGTATTATAAATCAGCCCCGACAGCAGCTTTTGTTCTGGCTTAAAACTTGGCATCGGAAAATCAGACCAGAAGTGTAGTGAAGATAATTGGGAAAAGCAGCCCAGTGTGGTTTCAGCAACAATCAAGCCTTTGCTGGGTCTTAAAAAGGACCCTTTTCCTGAGCTGGCCAAAGCCACATTTCCCAGCCCCTTTCCACCAGGAAAAAAAGTGGCTTTGGAGATGCTGGAGATAGAGGGAAAGGCAGTCAACAATGATCCTGGGGTGGGCGGGCAGAAGGCTCTACTGGGTGAAGTGAGGGGTCTGGGTTAGACTGTGTCTATTTACATGGAGAAATAGACCCATAGGGAAACACCTTCATTTTTGTTCGGTGCCTTAGGTAGTATAACCTGCCTCCAAAGACATTCCCTTATTTCGCCCTCATTTAATAATCAGCACTTGTTTCTCCTGCTTTATAGATAAAAACAGTCTCTGGACAGCTTAAGTATCTTGCCCAAAGTCACATAGAAAATTTAACAAGGTGAGAGAATCTTAAGTCAGGTCTTTGGATCCCTAATTGCTGGCCTTGCCTCTTAAGTCACGGTGTAAACTGACCGACCGCTTTTCTGGCCCTGTGTTGTTTAAGCTCCCAAACCATCCATTTCCTGTTGTTGTTTTCCCACCCCACCCCCCTCACCTTGAAGCCATCTTCCTCTCCACCCCCACCCCCTCAGCCTCCAAGGTGTGAGGGTGCCCATGAGCTCCCTGGCAGCATCTCTGAAGTGGCCCCAGTGGAAAGTTTCAAAGGGGGATTTGGTTACATTGACTGGGGCCAGCCGTTCAGGGTTCAGGTCCCCACCGCTGGGGATGAAGGTTGAAGAGAAAAGCCTTCAGCGCAGGGACCTGCACCTCCACGCTCCGCTTCCTTCACTTCCTGCTGTGGGCCGTTTGCTTCCAAGCTCCCAAAGCCAGACACTCCCTGCCATCGAGTTGACTCACAGCGACCCTACAGGGCCGGAGCGGCACTGCTGCCCCCAGGGTCTGTCCATCTTGACGGAAACGGAAAGATGAAGAAAACGTCATCTTTCTCCTGCAGACCAGCGAATGACTTCGAACTGCTGAGCCTGTGTGGTTAGCAAACCCAGCGTGTGAGCCACTACGCGCCTGCCGGGGGCTCGGACAGGTTCATTCCCGGCCCCAGCCCTTTGCTTGGGTGGATCATCAGAAGATAACATTTCCTAACCGACAACTTGCTCATGATGCATACTTTGTGTGTGCGTGCGTCTGTGTGTGTGATAAAAGCACAATAGGTACACGATGAGGATTCCTGGGTCTTCGGTTAAGAAGGGAAAAGGTGTGGCTGACCTTCTAGGGCTTGTCAGACATACTTTGTGGAAAATGTCCATCCTTGAGGCTCTCAGATGTCACACGTGTTCCCGTTTACCCTGTTTGCCCAGCTGCGTGCTTTGCAGCCAGGTCAAGGAAGGGCAGCGTGGGTCTGTTAAATGCCTTCAGGGGGTTTACCAGCACCGCAGGGCAACCCCAAAAGATGGGCCTAGAAGTCTGAGTTGAAAAGTCCACCCGGTTCCCCTTCTCTCCCCACACTGGGTCCTGTGCCATGGTGCTCCTCATTTGAGCCCCTCACTTCCACCCCCCAAATCTCCCACCTCTCCCGAGGAGGCAGGAGGAGGGTCCAGAGTGCCCCTGCAGCTGACCTGACTTCCCAGGAGCTGCTGCCATGGCAGGTGAGAGAGGGAGAAGGCTGAGGCCTGCCACGCAGCAGGTTTCGATCCATCTTTCTGAAGGGCTGGGAACTGAGGTGAGCAGGGACTTAGGAAAAGAACTTCCTTGGGTTCCTCCAAAGAGAGTTATCAAAGCCATCCACCTGGGAAGCCTTTCCCTTCTCGGCCCCTCCCAGCCACCACCACCAAAAGGAAGCCGGAAAACATCTGTCAGCACAGCCCAGGATGTTGCTTTTCCAATGGCTGCTCTCAGGATATCCCCTGGCCTTTGACGGGGGCTTAGGGAGCTGGAAAGGTCAGAGCCTGCAGGGGCAAAGTGGTGACCCAGCCAGCACCCTGGTAGAGTCTCTGTCCCCAGGTTTCAAACGAGGCCCGGGCTAGTTGAGAAGAGCTGGGCGGCCATCACCGGTCCCAGGCACTACAGCCTGCCCTTGGGTGACCTTGCAGTGCACACCTCTGCTCAGGTTACACCAGGTCCCTGGAGGGATGGAGTCATTTCCCACACCTCCTCTCTCCCTGGTATTGATTTCTGTCTTGTGGACGAGTATGTTTGGGGGGTGGGGGAGGGGGCCCGGCAGGGAGAAGGCTTCCAGATGACCATGCTGGTGGCCAGCCAGTGGCTTCCTCAGTGCTGGGTAGGGGCATCTTTGAGAACTGGGAAATCCCAGGTTCAGCCCCTCAGACCTCCCTACCCCTTTCTACCCTTGGCAGTGAGAACAAAGAAGGGAAATTTCAAAGGTGATTTCCAGGTTTCCAGAGCAAACTGAATAGCTGAGGATTAACTGTCAGGATGTTTGGTGTCAGAAGCAGAGGTGGCCCTGGGGGAGGAGGCGGTGGCCGAAGGCTGCCTTGCCACTGTCTCTACTCCTTTACCTGGGCATCAGAGGCAGACCTGATGCCACCGAGGCCCGGGGTTGCCTCTGCCAGGGGGGCATGTGATGTGGCCAGGAACAGAAACCCAAACTCTCGGTGGAGTTGCCTGGGCATCCAAGCCGCCCTGGCCAAGAGCTTCTTCCACCTAGCACTTGGCAAGGGCTCTGGGCAGAGCGTCGTTTGGTATGGTACCCAACCCTGTGCTTGCCCTGTGCCTGTGAGCTCTGAATAATAGATGCCCCCAGGCTCCGAGCATTCTGAGGACCCAGCAGTGGTGTGGGGCAGCGGTGTCTAAAACAGGCCGGGGTCGTGATGAACCCAGGTCTGCCAATTGAGTCACTTGGCTTTGAAGGTCCTTGGTTTGGAGAGAATCCCTGAGTTAACGCACCTTAAGCTAACCCTCCTGGCATGAGAGATGTCAAAGAAGGAGGCAGAATAGGGGGAAAGCTGTGTGCACCAGTGTGATTGGGGGATACCCTGGGTTGAGTTGGGGAGCAGGCACTGCCTGATTTGGCACAGAGAAGCCTCTGCCTCTTAAACGATTGTGAATCAGGTGAAGGTTTATAAGGAAGACGATCAGTTTTACTTTCATACATATTCTGTTTCATCTCACTCATTGCAAACCCTCTGATACAACTCCGGGGGCAGCCTCCCTAATGCTATGCTCTCCCCCATACTCACTGCTATGGGGTCAATGCTAGCTCGTAGCGACGTTACAGCACAGAGCAGAACCACTCCACAGACTTCCGAGACTGTCGCTCTTTGCGGGAGTAGAAAGCCCAACTTTCCCCCGTGTCTCCCTCATGGACCTGTCAAATCGTTTAGCTGGAGATTGAGCTGCAGGGTGAGTTCAGTTTCAGGCCTGTGGTGTGACAAAGAGGCAGAGGCTCATGAGTTCCACCAGTCTCTGTCCAACTAGTCAGCCTGGTCTCTCTGCCACTTCTTAACCTACTTCTCCTGCCTTCTGCGAGACTGCCCCAATGCAGAAAAAGTCAAGTCCGAGGCCAGGACTGGATTTCTGGGGTTGGAGTGCACACGGAGAGAAAGCAGACACTCTGGGATCTTCTGGGGTACCGAAGGCTCGTTGACTGCTCAAGGGGCACAACCCCCCTCCCCCAGCCCTCATTCCCCACAAGACATCAGGACCCACAAGACATTAGGGGCAAGGCTGATGGAAAGCCAGAGCAGTATCTGGGATTGTCTTTTGGGAACCCCCACCCCCACCCCCAAACCTTCCCAACTTCTAAATCTAGGGAGTTGGTTTTAGAGCCCAACAAGAAATTGAATTAAGTGTCATTACAGCCCTGATCTCCCATCTCATGGCGTGCAGCCTCTCCCGTGGGGGCCGTGGTGAGTGGTCTGAGGCTGGGTCCACACACAGGTTCCTCATCCCTGCTTCTGGTGTTTCTGAGCTTCCTCCAAGGGAAGAGATCACCATAACTGTTCCTTTCCCGCCCACCCCTGCACGCCTGTCACCTGACACCCCACCACCCACCCCCGTTCCCCAGCTGCATGGCAGCCCTCTGCTGCCAGGTGGACCAGGCAGGCTGGTGCCAGGTGGCAGGCCTGTCCGAGGCGAGAAGCAAGGCCCAGCACCAGCAGAGAGGGCAGGTGCCGAAGGCTGGGCATGAACCCTCAGGCCGGGGATTGAAGACAGGCTTCTAAACCACTGGTGCTGAAATAAGACTTTAATATGCACAAAGAAACCTCACATTAGTGGGAGAGCGAGAAGGGGGTGGGGGTGGGGGTGGGGAGGACCAAGGCCCTGGAGGCAGGGAAACCAGAGCTGTGGAGACAAAGACCTTGGGGAAGAAGACTGGGTGGGAGGGAAGGCGAGGGGAGGGGAGGGAAGAAGTGGACCAGGCAGTGAGAGGCCGGAGTCCTCGGTGGATGGGGGTCAGGAGCAGCGGCAGGCTGGTCAGCATTGTGCTCAGGGCCCTGTTCATTCTCTGCCTGAGCCGGGGGTCCTGGGCTGCCC